AAAATAATTGTTGCGCAACGCGATTGGAAAACGCTTGTATAAACATGTGCTCAAAAATAGTTCGGGATGAAAAAAACAACAAAAATAGTAAGCGCGTGCAAAAGCGAGGTCGATCGCGAAAAAAAAGAGGCGTTGATTCGCTCTTTGAAAATATTTATACCTCGTTCGCCGAACCAATAAATTATTGCCTTCGTGCGACTCTAAGCATGATTGATTTCCCGTGTCGCGCGAACGTAACGTGAGAGAACTCGATGATGCTAAATGTTTCTTTTTTTTGTATTTTCAGTTGAAACATTTTTTTCTTTTTTATCTGTATTCGTAAGAGTTATGTTATTATTATTATTTTTTATTATTATTTTCTTTCGCTACAACAATACGCAGTGCACTCTTACTTTCGAGTTTTTTTAAATTACACGGTTTGTTATATGAGACGCATTAGAAAGCGTGTATATTACATTGAGAGCAGAAAGCGTGTCATCAATTAAATCTATTCGCGCGTTCGTTTGTAAGACCATCAATTATTATCTCGTGAATAGTTGCAAGACAAAAAAAAATAGTTAATTTTTTCAACACGTACATCTGATAAAAGGTGCACGATTTTTATGATTTTATCAATCAATTGAACATTTTAACGGAGGGTTTGCAAAAATTTTAGTCGCTCGTATGTATGTACCGATTAAAAGAACACGCACATAATGCATTTCGGATGAATAATGATTTTGTTTTCGCGGCAGTTTTGCCAAATGAAACACTTGGCGCTAAAAGTTCCTCGACGCACGAACACGCGTGTATCCGCATACATTGTGGAATTAAAATGGTACAGACGGCGAATTTTTGTAAATTTTGTTTTCAATCGCGGCACGCAACAGCTCGCGTAGTTGAATAAAAAGAGCCACAGTCCAACACGCGTGTATATACACATAGCGCGATCGAGAGCTTAAACTCGATCAAATGGTATAGGTAATAAATAGAGAAAACTGAGCGAGACGACCCCGGGAGAGGGGTATTGCGCAACGACGCGACGCCTATATGTGTACGCGCGACGACGACGACGACAATCGATCGCCATCGTCCGAATGTACCACCTATTCTTTTATTATTGCGTGCACTACGTCTGATCAAGTATATATTATAGTGTCGTATACGTGTCGAGTGCATAAATGTAAACGTATAGTGAATTAGGTATATACCAGAAGAGCGACGTCACAGTGTATAATATATACTCTATATTTATAGAAAACAGCACAATTACCGTAAAGTAGTATGAGGATTTGTATCAATTATAATTACGTTTTCGCTCAATATTTTACGTTACTGCGTAAAGTGTTTAGCTGGTATTTTTTTTTTTTTTTTTTTTTTTTTTTTTTCATACGTGAACTGTATAAATTAAATTCGTGCCTTTTTTCCATTCATTTGAAAATCGAATAATCATAGCATATATTTAGCAAGTAATTTAATTACAAAATATATAGATAATATTGTGAAAAAAAGTGATATCGGTTGGTTTAACTGTATCAACATCTTTGAGGATTATTGTAATGTGCACTTGTTCATTATAATACTTTTAAAGATACCAGTTCGTAACTATTTTTTATAAATATCAAGTTATAAATACACTGTTTGGGAAGGACGTGAAATAAGAAAGACTGTTAGGGTGTACCATCTTATAAGAAACCGGTGTTTCGAAGCTAAATTAATTTTGTTTTTTGGTACACCACACCATATTCAATCGGATCGGTTATACTATCTCGGCAATCGCTGTTTGAACAATAAATTATGCCAAGCAAATATTTGATCGCGACGTACTACGGGCACGTGTTATATACGTATACGCCGTATCGAAAGGTGCGTTAGTCCCGTTAGAATTCAAAAGCGATCAAAAACCCGATAATGCCTTAATGCCCCCCATACACATCTAACGAATTCTTCCGCTTGTATGTATATGTTATACATGTATTCCCCATAAACGCACATTTTATCGCATTTATAAATACCTACAATATCCGATCTCTCTCTCTCTCTCTCAATATTTTCCGACAAAACGTTAGAGAAATAAAAAAATGCAAAGCACACGAGTACGCCCATACAGGTATCTCCTTTTTTTTCAAGGAGCAGAGCAGCTAATAAAAGACAGGAAGGAAAATAAAAACACAGCATCAGCAAGCTATCCGCGCGCTCCTTTTCCCTCCGTTTGTTCGTATATGTATAAAAAGGGCTGAAATGCCTGAAATAAAAAAAAAAGAGAGAGAGAGGAGAGAATGTATCGAAGAGCCTCTCCCGCCGCATATAAAATTCCCTCTCTCTCTCTCTCTCTTTCCATGCTATCCTTGTTTGAAGAAGAACGTGGTATGTTATACGTATATGCTCATAGAGGCGCACACACGCACGTTGTAGGTACATACCTTATGGCACGAGTGTACACACGGATCATTTCGCGAAAATTGCATTGATGTTTCATTTCGCCGTCATTTATACCCTGGACCCTATCAATTTCAAAGGGTTACTGTACTTTTGATTCAACGGTATCTCTAAAAAAATAATTTCGCAAGTACAAATTACCAAAATTAACGAAATTCGTGTGATTAGCACCGATTGTTAAACATTTTTCCAAACAATTGGCATTTTGAAATCGACATTAAGTAAAAATCGATGCACACTTTTTTTATCGCAGTTTTGATTATGAAATTTTATTCATAATGATAAAAGATTGATACGAATTTCGGCTATACTTTTCGGGTCGTGTAGACGATGCAATCGAGGATGCAATTAATTGAAACTGATATAATATAATTTATACTTGTAAAGCTCCTTTTGATAACTGCGTGTGAACAAATGTACGAGTTCATTGAACGAGCTGGGGCTCATTTGGTTCTGGTGAAACAATTTGAAAAGAAAAAAAATTGTTAAAAAATTTTGATATCTCATTGAATGGATTGTATTTTTCGTGAAACAACCCATATGTATGTATTAACCAACGGTTAAGGCAATGAGCGCGTAGTGGAGCGGATAGGGCGGAGGGAAAGAGAGGATAGGAGGGAAGAAGCGAATTGAGCCTAGAAAGAGAGATAGAGAGAGAAAGAATAAAACGAGGAGGTGGAGGAGAAAAGGAGATCAGTGCGAAGGCGAGGAGCGTCTCGATATGATTAAACAACCTTTGCTGTCTCCAACGGTATAACTATAAATAATATATACATATATACGTATACATACCTTACATTAAAATATACAAAGCACACACACCCTAGACAAAGTTTCCTTCTATTTAATTAAATTATATCCATATGAATATCCATCAGGAGGGTGATGAAAAAATCGTTAGTGCAATAGTGCAGTATAAACAACGAAGAGTACAGGTACTTATACCTATAATGTGTATAATAGTGGTCAAAAGAAAAGTGTAAAAAAGAAAAAAGGGAGGAGAAATAAAAAGGAGCAAGCACGTTTTGTACAACCTATGAATATAGAACAGAACGTGTCTTCCTCTTCCTCGAAGCAAATATATGGTATTTACTTACCCAGTGGGCTCTCTCTGTACACTCGTTTTCCACTCCTGGAGTATACTTACTTGTCAAGTACACCTACTGCAGAGGGTTTCAAAGGGTTTTAGTTTCCGTACCTCTCCACCGAGATGAAGCTGTAGATGTGGGTAGTAAGTAGTGCGAGTTACATAACCTTGAAGGGGGAAAGAGGGATACCCTGTATTGCGTGAACGCGTGCATATTTGTGCAAATATAAAATATAAACTTAATTTACCGTACAATCAGTGGAGAAGCGGCTTTTTTTCTCGACTCCATCTGCTCCATCAACGTACAATCAACGTACGTACTTCAAGAAGTGTTTCCTACTTACGTGTTCATAGAAAAAAAAAAACAGAAACAAAAAGGTAACAGAAACCGCTAAGTGCATTCGCACGAAATAGCGCGAGAAGGCGCCGGAAAGCCCATACCTATATAATAATACCTACCCCCTTGTCGCGCTGCTTTTCTCCAAGAATAATCGTCCCCGCTGCTGCTGGCCGTCGACTCTTCTTCTTCTTCCTCGTCTTTCGTAGGTATAAGGATGGCCTAGCCATAGTGTGTTATTTGATTTGCATGGATAATCTGCTTCTCTCTCTCTCTCTCTCTCTCTCTACCTACATCTCCTCTTCGTTGGTCGTGGTCATCTTCTTACATAAGAATTTTTTTTTCTTTTTTCTCTCTCATCGCGTTTCCCCCTTACGTATAGTCTCGATGGTTGTTTTTAGTTAGTCTGCTCCGATTTTTTCTTCTCGTGTGCTTCGGAGCTAAGTAAACAAATAGGACTCTCTCAATATACTTACCTATACTTACACCGCACGGTTCGCTCGATCGGCACGCTTTTGTGTTATTGCCGCCACTGATTTGGGTCCTCTCCTCTTCTCTCCCCCTTGGCTTGCGCTCAAAGGAATTTTTTACGCGCCGTACGTTTAGAGCTTTTGATACTTTTTCTTTTTTTTTGCTGCAAGTATACCCTATTAAGTACTGCTGGCAGACTTGAGTGGACAAAATTCTTGTTGATTGCTGAATCGTGTCTTTTCTGTCTTCCAAGAAGCTGACGGGGTTTTTTTTTTTTTTTTTTAAAGAGGGGGTTTGGACTTTTGTTGGAGTAGTCTGCCAGCTGCATTAAAAGTTGGTGTTTAAATGTCACTTTGAAAGGTACATACCATTGGTTGCTTGCATAGTAAAGTTCTTGCTTCTCTTTTATACTGCAGTTCTTGATAAATTGTTTTAAAGAGCTTAGATTCAATGTAGAACAAATACATTTGCCTACTGTCAATCTATTTTTATGTTGTGCAGTTATTTTGCTTTCTCGTGCTACATTATATTATACACATCTCAAAGGTTTTGTGTGAAAAACAGGTGCCAACACTGATTTACAAATTTTGTTTGGTTAAAAGGAAAAAAATTAGTTTGCCATGTATTAAGCGTTAATTTGTTCCATAAATCAATTAATCCTTGTACTTTTTTATTCAAAACTTTTAGGAACAGCATAGCCTAGACCTGGAGCGTCTTGCCAAAGAGAATGAGGCCCTACGGACCAGACTGCACGACGTTGTACACTCGCCACTCTCGGATTCACAGAAGCAGCAGCTTCTAGATGCATCACGACTGCACAATTCAGCGCCAGCTTCCATTGCAGCTCTGCAAGAGGACAGCTGTGCTGGATCTGCTAATATGACTCAAGAAAATGCAAGGAGCACCACACCTGAATGGGATAAAAGATCTTCTAGCTCAGAGGTGTCTGTTGCCTGCTTGCAAGACAGAATCTTACAGATGGAGGAAACACATTACTCTACAAACGAGGAGTTGCAAGCCACCATACAAGAACTCAGTGACTTACAGGTAATTGTTTAACAGTTACTCTCGTGTTATAGGTTAGAATTTATGGGATGGTTGATCGTGTATTGAGTATGTATCCATTACTCCTACAGAGCTTTGTTGATACTTGATTTAACTTATGTGTTACATGTTTGATAACTTGGCTAACTCAATTTATAAATAGTTTAGTATCTACTTGTTTTGTTAGGCTCATTATTTAAAGGCTGTAGTTAGAGATTTAGGTATTTGTCACTGGATAATAGATGGTTAAAATATATATTTGCATTACAGGCACAGTTAACAGAACTGCAAGCAGACAATGAAAGACTTACAGAAGAAAAAGGTGTACTGCTGGAATCTCTTTGTAGGCAAACAGAAAAGTTGGAAGACTCTCGATCACAGGTTGATACACTACACGGTCTGCTTCTAAGAGATGAGCCACCTCAAGAATCAAAGGGCTACAACACAGAAAGGGAACAAAAACTGGTGGACTTACTCAAGGTATCATTAATTGTCATTGTTTGTATTTTTTCAATCATCTAAAGTACAGCTGAAATTATTTCCAATATCGAAATTACTATTTTATAATTCCTGCATTAGATGGGAAAAAATAAATGGCAAATGGCACCATTCCCTAACATTTTAACTTGATTTTCATGACAGAGTGCACAAGAAGAGCGTGAAAGTCTTTTGCAAAAGCAAGAAGAATTGACCACCGAACTGAAGGCACTACGTTCAAGCGCAGATTCTAGCTCAGTGGAGGTCGAGCGGTTGACGAAGCGCGTTCAGCTCCTCGAATCGACGATAGATTCGGCTAACATTGAGCGCAAACTCCTTGATATTGAACTCGCAGAGTCAAAACAGGAAGGCGCAAATCGTAGTATCGAGATCAGTCGGTTGGCAACGTTACTGGATAATGCGCGCGCCAAGATCGAGGAGCTGGAGCAGTCCAGGCAGCTAGAAACTAAGAGCGAAGCTGATGAGATGCTAGATGCGGCTCGTAGAGAGAAGGATACCTTGGAGACACAGGCTGCAGCGTTACAGGAACAGCTTGCCAGGTCTCACTGTGATCACGATCGTCTGAGGGACCAGTACTCGCAGCTTCAGGAGGAGTTCAAAGTTAGTAATTTAGATTTATAGGTTGAAAATTAAAGATATTTTTATTTGAAATGACTAACAATTTTGCCAACTTTAAAAAAAAAAGAAAAAAAAGTTCACACTCTAAAGTTTCTTGTGATATCATGTAGCATAATGAATATTTGATCCCGCGTGCAAGGTAGCCTCGGAGAAAAGTTGATTGCTCAGCACATTATGAAAATTAAAGTGATGACTGTGCAAATGCATCAAACTATGTCGTTAACACTAACTTCTGGAATTGTGATGTATTATTATTTTCTTGATGCACCAAGCAGCAGATGTTATTATTAATAGAAAGTTTAGATAGTAAACATTTTTACATAGTTAATATTAAAAAATTGTTAAGTTTCGTCGAAAATATCGCAGTTTCGTTATTCTTTTTTTTTATCAACGTCTTAAAAGCAAACCATTCTCATAAACCACCAATCATGGCAATGCCGTAGGTTGCTCGTAACAACGCAAAATCAGCGATCGAGGATCTGGAATATCGGCTGAGCCAAATCAAGGAAGAGCGGGTCTCAGTGAATGCGGAACTTCAACTGGTTCGTGATTCGTTGGCCGAACTGCAGTCCCAGTGCCAAAGGCACCTTGAGGACAAGCGTGAGATGAAGACCGCGCTCAGTGAGCTGCAGCGCCGGGAACGCGAGGCGCAGAGTCGTCAGCACGAGCTGGAGTGCGCCCTGGCTGAAGAGCGCAAACTCAGGCAGGAAGAGAGCGCCGAGTGGCAGCAGTTTCAGTCTGATTTGCTGATGACGGTGCGGGTCGCCAATGATTTCAAAACCGAGGCTCAGAGCGAATTGGAACGCGTCGTGCTGGAGAACAAGACACAGAGAGATAAGCTGAGGGCATTGGAGGCTCAGTTAGACAAGCTCAACAATACGAGTAAGTGTTTAAACACGCACTAAGTTTTTTTTTTTTTTTTTTTCTTTGTTTTCCCGATATCCCTCGATCCCTTAGCCACGGGATTTTCCGAGTAGGTGTAAATCAAAAAAGGATAATCCCAACGAAAGTTAAAATTTCTTAATTAATAAATCAGATTTTTTTTAGCAATCAGATGCATTGGTGTTACTTATTGGAAACTGCGTACAGCAATGCAGGGACTAGACAAGTAGGGCCACANTTACTTTTTTTTTTTTTTTTTTTTTTTTTTTTTATGATCCTTGAAAAGTTTAATGGGTTCTTGGAAGCTTTGGTAGATTTGTCATTAAATTGGCAAGTTATGATTAGCGACACATTCACCTTTGTAAATTATTTTTTCAATATTTCGACAACTAAATAAACACCATCAATGTCGCACAAGAGTAATAAATGTCACTAAAATTTGAATAAATTATTGTCGCATGGCAGCTACTACTCTTTTGTAACGCTAAAATTTTTAAATTGCATATTAGGCAGTGGCGTTAAAAAACCAGGAAGCACAGCGTTAAAGCGCGGACGCACTATTGTTAAAAAGCGTATCGAGGTGAGGAAATGCTTTGCAAAACCGGAAGTAGCAAAATCAAAAAGTATCTCTAAAATTTCAAACAGCAGCCCATCAAAGACTAAAATGACTCAACAAAAATGTATTAACCAAAAGCCAGAAAATAGCACTTGGTTCGATCTTCCCGATCCAGTGAATTCAAATTTCAATACTATCGTTAACAATAAGTCAGAAGTTGATGCCAGTGTGCACAGCAATGGCTTAAATGTCCCCCCAGATAATATAGTTTTGACAAAACCACCATATTCGCCTCAACTGTCTAGAGATAGGCAAAGGCCACGGATTATTGAGTCGACTCCTAAGCGCTCGTCAGATGTACCACTAAATTTGAACAATGATACCAGTGATAACAAGAAATTTTATGACGTTAACGATGCCGTGGATAAATCCTGTAATGGAATATGTCAAACGATAAAAGAAAAATGCGCTCCAAAAATAATCGATTCCATACCTAAGGTAAATGGAGAGATGCCTAGTACACCTAATGTTATTCAAAGATCTAAGTTTTACTTATACGACGACGACGACAACGACAACTATGACAATAACGAAGATGAACCCAAGCGCGTAAACAACACGAACGTCACTTCTTGTGATTCTAACTCGCAAAGTAGTTTGCAAGATAAGATAACGGGTATCCAGAACGTGGACAAAGACATTTATAGCATCAGTGTGTCCAATAGTCGGTTTTTCGTGCCAAATAGTTATGTTTTCACGGACTACGGGAACTCAATGAATGATCTGAATTTCCAAGTTGACCCCGAAATGACAAAGACTTTGAGAAAAAGTTTAGAAGCAACGGCGAAGAGTACCGAAGATATTGCCAAAGAACTTGTCCTAGAAGCCGAAAGCAATGTTGTCACAGATATTGATGTACTGAAGAGGCCTTTATTCAATGAAGATACGACTGATTATGTTAAAAAAGACTACAAAATCTTGCATAACTTTGATACAAAGTTAGAGCCAAAGATGAGTCCTGCAATAATCAACTTCAGTGATAGAAACTTTGAGAACAAAGAATCCACCACAGTTGATTCAAAAAAGCCCGTGGCCAAAGATACAGTTCTAATAGATGAAATCGTTACATTTACGGAATCCAAAGCAGTTGAATCAAAGAAGCCTTTGAATAACGGATTTATTTTAAAGGATGATTTGTGGAGTAAAAGACCCGTGACGGAAAATTTGCAAGTGTCAAGAGCGAATTTTTTGAGGAACTCCATACACGAAATACAGCCGGCTACTGTAGCGATGAGAAGGTACTAATCAATTTATTGTTGGCTTTTTTGGATTTTGTGCGGATATTTTTGTATTTTGGAATTGATTGTGTGGCAAAAATTTTGATTTTTATTGTGTATATGGAAAAAAAAAAAAAAAAAGAAAAAAAAGAAAAAAAAATTCTCAATGAAATACAAAACTCAGCATTTAAAAAAATAGTAGGGACTTAATGTCACGGAAATCGGATGTCACACCACTGGCAGTTTCGAGATTTCCCTTGACAGTGACGAAACTAGTCTCAGCCATGCGTCAGAAGTTTGAGGATCTACCGACTCTCAGAATGAAAGATGAAAACTCTCAATCCAGACAAAACAATCCGTTGGTAGCGCGAAAACGCTACGCTGGAAATTTCGAGGATGTCGTCATAGCCTCAAACAACATTCCTAAGCCTTTGCCACGACGCTTGATCGGTTGTAAGTCGCACTTAATAATGACAACGGCAAAAAAGCTGCCAGAGTGGAATTCAACAAAATTTGGGGATTTTATTGAACATAACATATGTGACTTGTGTGTTGCTGCTACTACTGCTGCTGCTGCTCCTGGATCCGATCCTCTTCTGTGTTTTTATCTTCTGTCTCGGTACTTTTTGATGCCACCAGTGAATAAAAATATCCAAAAAGTACCTTTGTCATTTTTATGTGTGTGCAGGATTTTTTATCTGCTATCCAAGTGTTCGGAATTATTGAGTGGACCCCTTGTTACCAATTTAGCTTGCTGATATTTGACCTGCGAAGCTTCAAATCCTGCGTTTTAAAAAAAATAAAGGGAAATCTATATGTTTACATGGATTTTGCAATTTCCGATTTGCTTTTTGCTGTACAAATGATTTTTTTACAGATACGGACAAATTATATGAAAAAAATCTCTTGGGTGCTTTATTTGATGAAAATATAAATGTGTGCTTGTACAAATATAAGATTTTAGATGTTTTTTCCTCAGTAGAATGTAAATATTTGGTTTTGCTTTTTAGCTTCGATGCATTTAAAAAATGTTATGAATGGTTGTGCCTATGATGTTATTTGTTAATTAAAATATTGAAATTTTTTTAGAAGCCAAACGATTGAAGTGTATAACAAAAGATTTTGTATTTATTAATGCCTATTCCTTGCTTTTACGCTTGATAAATAATCAATCATGAAATGCAATGATAACAGTAATCTCTCACCTTTTCAGCGACACAAAAAACTGCACCTCCAACGACGAGAATAGCAACCACGCCTACAGAAACACAGCAATCCGTCATTACGAGTGTTCAAAACGAAATGGCAGCTCGACGCAAAGCCAACATCACCCGTCAGGATTCCAGACTCTCCGTAAAGTGTCTCATCGAAAGTATCGAAAACGCCACAAAACAAGCTAAAGCTGGTTAGCGTCTTTATTCGACATTATATTAAAAATTGTAATTATTTATCTTAGTTGCAGCAAACAAAAATTGATTTTTCATTTTTCAGGTCCTGGAAGTCGTAGTAGTTCAACCTCGTCTCTTAACTCTATTGGCACCAATGATGTCATAACACTAAAAGCTCCTCTACGAGATCAGCAGATAAATCTCATTTGCACGACAAATACGACGAACAATAATAATAAAACTCAATCGACTAATGTGAAAAAAACGTTTTCTGGTAAATAAAAAAAACTTAAATTCACAATAATACACTTATTGTAATTTTAGTTTGATGACGTATTGATAATGCTTTTTCTTTTTTTAGAAACGAAAAATACCTCTTCAAACGTTATCAGTTCGAGTCAGCTGCTCGATACAACGACGCTCAACTCAAAGACGATCGACTTTGTGCGGCGTAACAGCGTAACAGATTTATCAGCCGACCGTAAGGATCCACTTTGTGGGCTGGTGAAAAATGGCGGTTCGCGACGCAACGCTTTTCTCAAATGGTGCCAGAACAAGACCGTCGGCTACCGGAACATCGATATCACGAATTTTAGCAGCTCGTGGAATGATGGCCTGGCCCTTTGCGCCATAATGCACACTTACCTGCCCGATAAGATACCCTACGATTCGCTCACGCCAAATGAAAAGAAGAGAAACTTCTCGTTGGCATTTGCCGCAGCTGAAAGTGTCGGTATACCTACTACTTTGGTAAGTTTGATTTTTACTAATGTATGTCATTTGATATTTATTTTAAATGTCACTTTTTACAACTTACCATTTTAGAACATTGGCGATATGTGTCAACTCGAACGACCCGACTGGCAGCAAGTAATGACCTACGTGACGAGCATCTACAAGCATTTTGAAACCTGATTTTCATGACATTGAAATTGAATATTCAGGTTGACAGTTGATTTTTAGCTCGCGGGGCTCATCTTTTTCAGATCGTTTTTTTACCTTGGTCTCTTTCTTTTATTATCATTAACTTAAAAACTTGACAACGAGGAAATAAGCAACGTCGTCTAGTCAACTTTCATACCAGGAAAAAGGTAATTTCTTGCTTTTGTAAGAAACGTAGAGCAGCTTCCTCGAGAGTTCTCAATAAAAAAAAAAATAAAAAGAAAGTAATATTTTGAGCAGAGAATAAAAGACAATAGTAGAGACGCAGGGCTCAAAATAAACGTATAAATTTACAATCACGTCCAATAAAGAAAGTAACTGCGTGAAAACGTCCTCACGAGCCCATTATTTTTTATAATATTTTGCACTGCGCAAAACTCTTTTATTCAACGCTTTGAAGAAAACTGAGAAAATCAAGTGGGAATGTTAATTAAGGATACGATTGACACACGAATAATTCCTTATTAACATTATGAGACTGAAAATTATTTCATACAGTATATGTTTTTATATATATAAATGTTGTGAAAATTAAAAAAAGTAAACAGAAAAACAAAAAACCAATAACCACATAATGTGTGACCGGTTAATTATATTGTAAGGCAATTAAAATGTATTTAGATGATAGATTGCGAGTCATCATACATAAAAACGCTCTTTTTTTATGAAATGCCGATTATTTAGATGTAAAACGCTAGCAAGTGAATCAATGTGATGGTGAATCGTGAGTTGTGATGCATGTTTCTCTCAGCATATTGTAAGTATTTTTTTTACGTGTATTTTTGTTAAGTGTTATTTCTTTTTTCGCTTCAAGTTACATATATTATATACCTAAACGCTATTATATTTGTACAGGAGAGAAAAATTAGATCGTGTGAACATGAGAAAGAATGTGCACGCGTGAAGAGACGCATTTAACTTGTAAGGAATCCTAATTTATTCTTATTGATCGTGCAGTAAGGAAATAAAAATGAAGAAAAAAAATGTAAGCAAGCAACGGCTTAAGTTCTCTGTGATATAGCATTGATAGTCTCAACAGCAGAGATACACACGCGATTAATATTATTTGCATTGATTAATTATTTTTCACTCACTTGTGCGTGCGTTCGTAGCATCTCTCACTCCCCTTGCCCTTGTTGCCGGCTTCTTCGCCCTGGTGGCGTATAGGAATTTGAAATAATACTTCATGCTATTCGAAAATTAACGAAGCGTGAGTTTTTTTTAGTTTGAGTCTACATAGTAATTGATTAATTATCTGCTTATTCATTATAACGCGAAACTTGAGTTTGCGACAATTTTGAGGAGAGTGCTTGGTTTCAAAATAAAAAAAAATATTTATCTAATTGTTACAGTTAATGTTTTGTAAAGAGTCTAAAAATTTTATACTAATAAAACCAACATTTTCTACTTTGGAATATTAAATACAATACAGTTCAGTAGAGTAATATTAAATTATCGAAAGTATATGAAAGCATATTCAGACGCTATAACTAATGAAATGCCAATCATGTTTTTTATTTGTTTTGAAAAGTTAATAAGGTTATTTCAATAATCGTACATTGAACCTTTTATTTTCATGTAAAAATTAAGTAGGTTTAAAAAAAACTCAAATATGTACCTTAAAAAACACGTAAAATTGAATAATTGATTGTTATCATATTAATATTAACTTTATAATATCAGTTTAATCAATGTTACGATCTAAATCGTGAAAACCATAAAAAATGCATATATTCTAAGCAATTCGCTATACATAATCATTGCATATACCATTAGTACGTATTGAACTCGATTAAGCACTTAACTCAAGATTGTCAATTTTTCAATACCAAGCCATTACAATAAAAAATTATTTGTTTCCAACTCGCGAAAATTCATCATAGTTAAAATAAAGTTTTTAATCAATACTGACGAGATCAATGCCTTGTTTTTCCTTTTGTAAATCATAAGGTGCTGTTTTTTTTATACACGCGACTGTTCACACTATTTTATGCAAACGAAATACAGATGCGGTAAAATTTTGTATAACCTGAGAAAGATTTTTGAAATCAAAGGTCGTTACTAGAATTTTTTACTATTTACGACATTATGAAAGTACTTTTCTTCTATATATTGATCATGTTGACATTTATAAGAAGGCGAGAGAGTAACGCTAAGAGATGCGCTTTTCATATATATCTTGTATTTTCGTATGAATATTCTACTGAGATCTATATGTAGGAATTGTGACTTTAAAAAAATGAATTGAAACTTGTAATACAATTAATTGTGTATAAATCTTTATTTTTTTTTTACCATTTCATTAATATAGAGTCCTTTCCTTTCTATATACAGTTCCTTCTTATACATATAAATTTCTCTCATGTAAGTTTCAAAAATCAATTACTTGTTACATCATTGCATGATTTTTTTATTCTTACCATTAGCGTCACTTAGTTAAGCAAATATATTTTTACAGTAACTTATAAAAATACCACAAAATAAGTAATTTTTTTTTTATTTACATAACTCACAAAGAAAGTTAATAAGTTTGATTTAATTTTAAAACAAACTTACTTGTCTTTTCAGAATTATAATTTAAAGTACGTCTTGTGTAAATAAAATGTGCTTACTAGTTCACATGATACGAATTTTTTAAACTGATTAAAATTAAAGTATGAATGATAAAATAACTTTCTTTTGCAATTAATTTAATAATTCCTGAAGTACTGAGTAAACATTAAATAAAACTTCGAGACGGATGTTTTTCGTTTTTCGTTACCAAATTCCACGAAATCACGAGTCCGTGGTATCCATTTTGTCCTGATCCTTTTCTCCCGAGTAATATTCGTTTGCTGGTTCGACAATTTTATCGAGGTCCTGCGTGTTTGTCCTAGAATCAGGATCAGGCTCTGGTTGTCTCTCATCTACAGGTAGCAGCAAATCACAGGGCACATCCTGCATCTGAACGCTGGGCGAGTGTTGCAGCATCTTTAGATTATCATAGACATGTCGCGTTATAGCCTCAAGATACTGCTTGCTGTTGGCATTGTCCTGTCTTGTAACGACTTCCGGGTGTAGCACAAAGTCTGGTCCAAAGTACTCGATGTACTCGGTAAGGGGAAGTTCATTACTGATTTGTTCATCCACGAGCAACGAGGTCTCGTATGTCCAACATCGCGCAACGTTACGTAGTGTGTAGCCGCCACCTCCAACGGTCAGTAACGGCACGTTGAGATCCCGAACGAAACGCACACACTCGCCATGACCTTTGGTGCTGAGGCTGAAGCAACCCAGCCGGTCGTTGGCTAAGGAATCTGCACCGCACTGTAGCACTATAGCTGTGGGTCGAAAGAACTCTATGACGTGGTTAATCACGGGCTTAAATACTTGGATGTAGGAGGCATCATCGATGCCTTCTTTTAGAGGTACGTTCACCGAGTAGTAGCGTCCACTCTCAGCTCCGATCTCATACATATCGCCAGTGCCTGGAAAAAAATAGTTGCCGTACTTGTGGAAAGACACAGTCATCACACGATCCGTAAGGTAAAAAGCCTCTTGGACGCCGTCCCCGTGGTGTACGTCGATATCGATGTAAAGGACACGAGCATGGTACTTCAGTAGCTCGAGAATGGCAATCACTATGTCATTGATGTAACAAAAACCCGAAGCCTCAAATTTTTTTGCGTGATGCAGTCCTCCGCTCCAATTAATGGCTATATCACAGCTCTTTGTGTTCAATTTGGTGGCACCTGCAGAGTAAGAAAAAAAAAAAAAAAGAGATTTCAATCATTAATTGTTCAAATAAAGATATTGTTGCTATCTCTGAATGTTTTTTCAATCAAAGTATCAGAGATCAGACCAAGAACCGTGTAAAACTATAGCTGTACAAGAAAAATTATTGCACCTTCTAAGGATGCTCCTGTGTACATGGAGCAAAAGTCGAAAAGACCTTCAAAAACTGGACAGTCATCACCCACGTTAAAATTGGAGAGAAATTTTGTATAATTTTGTAGATTTTGCGGCGTGACCCTTTGCAAAAAGTCTACATAGTCCTCGGAATGAAAACGACACATATCGTGTGTGCTGGCCCTGTAAGGTCTGTAAATCTGCATTTTTTTGTGTAGATCGTATTCAAGCACGAGACTGTGAATGACTGAAAGTCTGTGAGGCTTCATAGGGTGTCCAGGGCCATAGTGGAAATTGCCCACGTCTGGATTATAAAAGTAAGATACTCTCTTGTTGGAACTCATTCTGACGAAATTTATTTCTCTAAAAAAATAATAAACAAGTACTTTATGGATGCTTCTTTATCAAAAAAAGTCTTTAAACAAGCAATGGAAATGTATTTCCTCATTACAGGTAACTAGAAAAACAAACGGTGATCAAATTACCTGTATAACAATCAATCATTCCATGGAGACTGATAGGTATACAAAATTTTTGTCAACTATGAAGTCCAGAGTTCTCATAAAATTTGCGATTAAAGGAACTTCCCAATCATTAAGTGGGAAAACTTGTGAAAAACTTAGGTACGTAGCCACATCGTTATGTACTGCTTAAGGTATTAAGAATATGTTTACAAAAAACAAATTAATACCATTTTTGCAATTAATTAAATCAAATGTTTACTACAGGTTAGGATAGCCAAATTAGGCTCTCAGTGACTGTTGAGAGTATTGAGACTGTCGGCAAAGCACTAGACACTTAGACAGTAAGTAGACACTAGACTATAGAGCAAGATTTTTTTTGTGGTTGTGAGCTTGCGAGCGTGTGTGTGTTGTAACATGCATGTGCAATTGTACAGCAACAGCACAGCTTGTGCGTTGTGCGCGTGCAATGTTTTCAAAGTTCAAAGCTATATACTTAGTTGGGGGCTGGAGGCCAAGCTTGGTTCTTTGATTGCAGCGACTAGGTTGCCACGCTGTCCACCTTGGCCGTGGCCAGGTTTGCACCTGATCTCCAGCAAATAGCACATCAATGTCAAATTTTTATCTTCTATCTATAAGATTAGTTGCGACTGGTTTATAATTAATTAAATAGATCTACTATAAGTAGTAATAATTATTTGGATCAGCGCCATCTAGCAGCCTTCATTTTTTTGCTTTTTGCCTTCGCCTTTCGCCAAAAGTGGCTCCTAAAATTCTGAATCAGAGCAATTAGGCTTAGAGCCATTTAATCAATTATAAACCAGCCGCAACTATGTACATGGATATAAAACAAAAATTTAACGTAGTTTAAGCTGTTTGCGGCAAGTTTACAATTTATCTTTTACCCAAAAATCGACCTTCAAAAGTATAAATATATAGAAGGTCAATTTTTAGGTAAAAGATAGATCGTAAGCTTGCCGCAAACAGCACAAACGATGTTATTTTTTTGTTTAATATCCATACGCATAGCGCTTTTTGGCGGAGAATTAATTTTATTAAATTACTGAGAGTTTTAAAGGCAAAGGCACTTTTTAGTTTGGAATCAGCCACGCTAGATGGCGCTGTTTGTAAAATAAACATAAATAATTTAATACTATTAAATTATTTAATTAATAGTAGTATTGTAGTATACTGGAAAATGTAAAAAATACAAGGCCTACAAACTAAATTAAAATCAAGATTAAGATTAAGAATAATTGAATAAATTAATGAACTTTTTTTTATATTACAGATATATAACACAGTACTATTCACATCCAAATATGAATACTTACATTACTTAACGATAAAATAAAATAGCCAACGACAAATTTACGTCATGCTTATTAGCAAGGAGCAACTGTAATAATTCTTTTTTTATCAACAGACACTGTAAGATAAAGTTTCAGCCCTAGTTGATAAAAAGTAATAGTTTTTTGGTTTAAATGTATGTATACCAAAGAATGTTACTTTTTTTTTAGTCAGAGCAATCGTTTGAAAAAAATTTTTATTGACAATCGATTGTCAACGAATTTCAAGAGACACCTTTGTCCATTTAATAAGGTAAAAATGTATTGAATAAAACAATGTGTATGTATATCCATGGACCTCAATAAGCCCCGGTACATAATATATAGGTACCTACTAAAAGAGCAAAAGGAAATTATATATACCCAGTTATTATCAAGGTTTCTTGAAAAAAGGTGTGTACTGGCCTACTGGGTATGTTGGACATGTTGGTATTGTACAAAATTTATACCTGCCGCTATCTGATGGCTATAAAAAAGGTAAAAGGGGGAAGTGGCATTCGCGGCAAAGTTTGGATTTATCATCTACCCAAAAATCGACTATTGAGCGCATGGACCCCCTTACAAAAAAAAACATATTGGCTGTCACTACGCCAAACATTTTTTTACGATAGTTAATGTTCGGCTCGGAACCCGAGTGTCGATACATTTTTTTCGCCGAATAATCGCCAGTATTTGGTAAAAAAAAAGTTGATTTTTCCTTTACTAAATATCTATTACTTTGTAATAAATAACTAAACATTTTTTAATTTAGTCAGATTCTTTATTTTGTTGTTTTTATTTCATAATGTACAATTGTGTACGAATTCGTGTACAAGGTATACTTGTCCATAGTCACTAATAATCAATTTGTGAATCGTACATTTATAAATTCATTGATTTCAGTGATTAGTACTTTGAGACGTTGCAGATGACATGTAAGGTATGGGACACCGAAGAACAGGCAAATTATTGTTAACAGTGTGTAACCACAAATTAGCACAACTCGCATGATAACTGTTATTGTTCCATATGATTTGTTCATTAGATATTAAAGTCAAACACAGTGCACAAGTAATACCATCTTTTGGACAAAGAGGCCATGATGGTAACTCAGTAATAATCTATATGAAAAAACATGCAGGATTGGATTATACTTTTTTTTTGTAAACTTCTAAGATTATTTTTCATACGTTTTAATAAATATTTTTGATCTACCTACCGGAATGTCGGTATAAAATGGTTCCATTTCAGACCATATTCTATCAATATCCATCAACAAATCATCAAAACCCATTATGTTAATATCTATTTCTTTGTGAGAAAAGTTAACTCTTCTGCAAACAGCTGCCACCTCTGCTAAATCTACAAATACAGTATTTTATTCGCATTTGCATTGAGTAGTTGAATATTTAAGTTCATGATTTTTTTTTATACTATAGCTTACTGCAGAGAAAATTGTAGCCTTGCGCTGATGACAATACTTCCTTTAAAATAATCTCAGAAGTAATGTTATTAAACACATTAGTAGTAACTTGCAATAATAAAAGACAACTTTCCATGTACTGCTTCCATTCCCAATAAATTATCTAAAAAATAAGAAAAGGCAATTTTTCATATGATTATTTAACTTTATGTAAGGGAAAGTTGTAAATATCCTACTTGATGCATATTTTCAATGTGTTGTTCATCTTCTTGCACAGAAGGTGTAAATGACTTCAGATTTAAGCTTAAAACAGATCCTGATCGAGTTAAAATTTCAGATGCAAGAGGATTACATTCTCCACTATCTATTGAAACAATATTTGTTGGTTGAACATTGTCTATACAAAAAAAAAAAAAAAAAAACACGAAAATTTTTTTTTATCTGTTTTAGTAAATAAAATTTTTGAATCCTAATTAATCAAAAATTTTCGTTTATAATCAAACTCAAGGTATTTTTATTTATTTTACCTCTGTTAAAATTATTAGTGCTTTTTTCTATCGTTTGTTGATCCACAGGCACAACTTCACATACAAGAGCATCAAAGGCATCTGAAATTTCTTGAACCAAGGAAGGACTAGACTTTCTATTAGTTCCTATTGTACTATTTGTATTAAAATCGAATTCACTTAATAAATCTACTGAGATTTGACCATGATTTGGGCTTGCAGAAATAAATTGCTCTGCAGATATAAATTCTCCAAAATCATCCAGAACTGGAAATGTACTTGATGATTCTGTAGGTTCCAAAGGATTTATGACAGATGGCTTATCATCTAAGGCTCTCAATGCACTGTATTTATCCTCTGTAGGTTGCAGGTTCATCAAGTCTTGCTGTACATCTTTTGAATTTTTAGCAGATTCAACAGTTTTTGCATGAGCTAATCCTGGCATAGTAAGACCAACTTTGTTAACAACTGTCTTTTCAGTGTTGTGCAAATCTTTTGTAATAGGTTTGATTACTTCAACACTATTGCTATGCCTTATGATGGTATCCTTTAAAATGATTGTGTTGGACTGACTCTTCTGCAAACACTTTGGAAACAGCTCTGACAATTGTTCATTGAACTGGTTCTCCCTGTTATGCATCGTCACAGGATTAACAGAAGTTAATAAGCCACGAATTTCACCAGTTGTACTGCTGTTGTTTTTATTAGCAGAGGTTTTCTTCATTTTATCGTAGGACTTCTTAATACCAAGATTATGATTAGCCAGACGACTACCAATAGCAGAGCCTTGCCTTGAATCCCACAAGTTTGGAATCATAGGCACATTACTTTGTACCGGGGCACTTTGGAAGTCTGAATATTCATCATTATCTACAGTGTAAGACGAAATCACTTGACTCTTGATGTCTGTTAACTGAGCATTCACATTATGCCAACTGGACTCCATGCAGGAAGCTGCTGCTGCAGTTGGCTGGGTAATGTCGGCGATGTCGTTGGACAAAGATTTTATTTCTTTCAAGTCAGATAAGTGGCTATGATTTCGGGACTGCAAACCATCCAGCTTTGTGGTAGTGGTGGTTGTGGGTTTACCCAGATGTGTGTGCTTCCTGCTCACTATAGATGAAGAATTACAGCTAGCTTTCGATGACTCGACAGGCAACAAGGTAAGGCTGTTGTTGAGTTCGGTCTTAATTTCATCATTGCCAAGGAGAGCAAGGTTGAGGTTTGGGGTTGGCGGCGTGCGAATGTACGTGAGGACCTCAAGACTGTTGAATGGGTAGGAGGCCTGGGCAAGCGCGACGAGAGCAAGGACGATGTAGAGCTCTTGCTCCGTCAGCTGGCCCGCGTACTTCTGATTTGCCAGGCTCCAGATGTAGCCGAGAACTTCGGTGGGCAGTTGGCTTGTCAGTAGTAGCGGAAATATTTTGTTAGTGTCAACGAGTACCTCGACATTCGGCCTACTAGGGTGCTTCTCTTGTACTGCCTCCCAGATCCCTTTGTACAAAGGTGAGAGCACGTTAGAGTTTGGCCAGAGCCAACCAGGCAGCTTCAACATCTTTTCAGCTGCTGCTGCCACTGTGTGGGCTGTGTTGCTGCTCATTGTTTACGTATACAAAGTGCAGCTGCAGCTAAAGCAGCAGCTCCTTTAATTACGTCATCTAAGCAGATGCACGGAATTGGCTTGCTCTGTATATCATTTTTACACTGTTCAACAGAATATTTATTGATTATGAGCAGCAGTGAAAAACCAAAATGAAGACGGATTAAAAGACGTAAATGACATCTCCAAATATGTCTCACGATAACGTCACCAAAGCCGTAGTTAACGACGTAGCTGTTGATGTCTTTGGTTGATTATTATTTTCACTAACTATTCTTTGACAATATGAATTAGCCGTAATACATGCTACCATCTGGATGATGACGCCAAAACAGAAGGGCTCAAAAAGGAAAAAAAAAAATTATTTTCATTATCATCGAAATAAATTTGAACTCCCTGTTTTGAGGGTGCCATCCATATGGTATAGTAACAAATCTAGTGCTAGGTATAAACATTGTCAAACAATACTTTGTAAAAATAACAACTTACCAGGGACATCGACAGCTACGTCTTTGGAGACGTCATTTGAGTCGTCTTTACTTATAAGACCCTGTCGTAGGGGCATCACGAGACAATTGACCACCTGTAGTCCAGCATTTAACGAGGAAGCCTATCGTAGTCCCTCGCGCTCCAGATGATCCTTCTTTCTTTGGCTGGTGCTCTAATAACTCCAGCCCAGACGAGCTCCAGTTCCATGTTAGTCTTGCTACTCATTAAAACATATAAATAACTGGCACATGTATAATATGTGCAATGGTATTAGGGTTAAATTATTACAAAGAGATCAGATTATTATGGGTAGTCAGTTAGTCACTTGGTCAGGTAGAGTGATGAGGGTGTACTCATGAATTCCATATAAAAGATGACACACTTTTGGCACTATACCATGTATATACAGATATATGTATATATATATACTTAAAGAATTGGACCAACTAAACGACCGAAAAAAAAACACGTACCTACCATGAACGTACCCAAAAAAATTTGACCGTAAGCCGTAAGAAAGTACACCCCTAAAGTTATACCCCTTACGGGGGGGTGTGTGTTAAGTGTTAAGTGCGCAGAAGAGTGCTGCGGGCAGGGCTGCCGCATCAGTTTGCCAGAGTATTTGTAGTCCCCCCTTGAAAATGCCTGAAAAATGCACGCTGCGGCTGCACTGTCTAAAACCGCGCGGGATTCAAACGGTTCCTCTAAACCACCCACTTTGGTAGCACGGATATTGATAATTTATTCATTTAATGCGATGGCGAAATTGATTGTATAAGGGGGTAAGTAGGCCTGGAACGCAACTCTACTATGGCTTCTACCAGACAAAGAGAGAGCTGGAGGGATATTCCGGAACTAGTTTGCTGGTAACATAGGCAGACATCGTGAAAAAAAGTTAAGAATACCACACCCCTTGTAATGGGAAATTTGTAATACGCTATAATAATACTGCAGTAGTATAGTGATGAGTAAGTTTATGAGTCCTAGTCAACTGTATCAACTGAAGAAGAAGAATTCTTGGTTCAGAGTTCGCCGGAGGGTGGTTGGTTATACGGAGGTGCTTGAACTGCTTGGGGTTTTTTTTAACAGACTTAACAGACCTATCAGATCTGAGTCCGATACACCTATCGGACAACCAGTATTTTTAAACGACGCTCAAAGATCACGTTATAGACATATTTTTGAACTGGCCACCGTACACCATAATATACTTGAATGCGGGACGGGGGTTGGGGGACGGGGAGTGCGGACGGTTATATATGGGTTAGACTATATATATGTGAACATATATATAAATTTGGCAGTTGGCAGACGGCACTGCATAATAGGCTGTTGCTCCGAAAATCTCACTGCATCTTTGTTCATCGATGAGATAAACAAACGCTAACGTAAGTTTACCGGCTTGGTTGTTATATTATTTATACTTTGCATTATCCCTTCTATCTTAATTTTAATGTATATCCTTGTGCAGGTTTTTTATAAGATTGACTTCTCGAATTTGCATGCATACTTTTCACTTAAATTAATTACCCTTCACAGTATATTAAAATTATATATTTACAGTGTATCAATTAAAATAGTCTTCAAGCTTTAGTATGGCCTATAATAATTGTCATTCATTCTTATTTACTACATTAAATTGCGTGGCTCTCATTCATGAGTACAAGTAGGTACTTTAACTTGATTACAGTTGATTTACTGGAAGTATATAGTATACATCTCTCTCTACTCGGTGTCCTCATTGACTCAGAGTGGGAACACATCCTGTTGCGGATGCTGCCATGCATGCACTGTGTCCTCTCTTTAACATTGTTCTAGTATACAACATTATATTCGTGTAGCTCGTCGAAATTATAAATTATAAATTAGTAGCTGCCGGAACTTCAAAGGTGTAGATAAGCTAAAGGCGCCGGGTACTTATATATTGGTTCGTTTTGTGATTATTTAAGTGCCTGCTTGGCGTTTGCCCTGAAATTAGGGTTAATTGGGCGCTTTACTTATGTGCGGCCCTGTCGCCTCTTCCTGGATCTTTTGTAACTTTAAGGCGCTGCGAGATTAATTAGACATGTTTCGTTCATTAGTGTGGCTGCATCTGGTTGAGTCGTATTTAATGCTTGCTGTTGTGTTTTAGTTCAAAACGTTCGTCTTACCTTATTAACGATACGGGGATAATTGCTATCTTGTCGTTGATAAATAATTCAAGCGTATAAGTAAATGAATAAACAATTCTTACATTGAGAAAAATGTTATGAGTGTATAAAAGTAGTGTATGGCCATTGTGATTTAGGTCTTCACCCCCGCCCCCCTTAACAGCTGGAAATGAGATAAAATATGTGGGGCTATTAATTTTTGCAAGTGTACGTTTAAATAAACTAGTGTGTAATATTTCCTTGTATTTGCTAGACTTGGAACATATCTATTTACTCTCTGAAAACAAATAGCACACCGAATTCCTCTCATTCTCATCTCAAATACAAACTGCTGCCTTGTGTCTGAGATAAATATAGAATATAATCATAGAAGACACAGTGTGACAGAATAATTTAACTTATTTAACGATGTGGCTGATGTGCGTCGTGGATTTTTGAATTTTGTTCATTTTGTTTCAGTTTTAGAAACAAGATAGACAACATGCCACCAGATTCAAGAAGTGTGTCTTTCATCTTCCATCGTGATGCAGTCAATGCACGGAGTACTCCAGATGAGAGTAAAATTCAAAAGAATTTCAGGAGAAGGCTGCAAGACAAATTTGACAAAGAGAAAGTTGATGGCTTAAAAGATAGATCAGACAAGGACTCTTCTGACAAGTTGTGGCACAATCTCAGTCTTGGTCAGGTTTCCACGGATTCGAAAAAGGCTTTTAGAAGTGGAGCAGATAAAATATCCAAGACTATCTCGTCTGTCAGGACAACTCTGGGTTCTATATCACAAGTTTGTACTTTTGATTTACTATTTTTCATTAATCATTTAATCAATTACTCATGTTTAAAATAATTGATAATTTTTTTTATTACCATTACCGTAAGAAATACCATCGCAGAATTATGTAATTAAATTTTATGATGCACTTGTCCCTTCCTTTAGACCACATATACTTACGTCTAGTTACCCTCATATCCTGTAACCATATTCATACGTATTCGCATTAAATTGAGCAGCAATAGTAGTAAGTACTACACGTTTTGTCCTAATTATAGAAATTCAAAAGTTCGACTCGCCGACGCCAGCGGCTCGAGGAACAGCAGTCGCCCACAAGTAGCGCGTGCAAATCGCAAACGCCACAATCGCGCTCGCGCAATCTCTTGGGCCGCACGCCGACAAAGCTTTACAGTCCGTTCGGAATCGAGTCACCGAGAAACGCCTGGGGCAAGGAAAACGACCGTTTTGGGGCTGCCAGCACGCCTACCAACGCCTTCAGAGAATCACCTGAAATCGGAAATTGTACGAGCACCAACGCTGGCAGGCGCCATCGGTTTTTCCGCCTTTCCAAGGTGAATGGGTTCTGCGCCTTAAGATAAACGGGAGTTCTGATCTTTGCATTTTTTTTTCTCCAAGGTTGCGGCAAAATAGTTTAATCAGAATTTATTTTCTTTTCTCGAAGAGCAACGATCAAATGTGCGGTGCGGTAATTATTGTGACGTTTGTCAATAATTGCGCGTCCGCTTTGATCGAGCGTCTGTTGTAGCATTGTACACAAATCATTAATTTTTCGTTTTTTTAGCAACGAATTTTTTCAAACAATGAACGACAGCTGAATTAACTTTTTTTTTTTTTACTATTTATTTCCGTAATTTTTATGTTTTGATAGGACTATTTATAATATTTATTCCACTTGTACATGTATTTTTAAGTTGTGTCGTTCTATATGATTTTTAGTATATTTACTTGCAGTAGGTTGATAAATCAGTATTTAAGAAAACGAACTTTAATAAAAATTACAAAATTCATTGAATCTAACATATCAGTGATATGAATTCCATTGAATTTAGAAAAAAGTAACAACGAATTTAGAAGTCGGGGATTTAAATTTAAGCTTTGTTAACCCATAGTCTGCCTTTTTGTTATGAGCTGATTTAAATACATTTATTAGTAGATAAAAAAAAAAATTGCTAATTAAGAAGCGGATCGAACAATCGAGCTATTTTAATAAAAAATGTACTCGTACACGCAGGTGTTTTAGCTAGAGAATCAGAAATTCAGATTGCTGTAGCTTGTGTAAAAAATTTTCTCCAAACTCACCCTTTTCTACTTTTATATTTTTATAAGGTATTGCATGATTCTTTATGTATGTATTGGCCCTAGGTACTCTAAATAAAGTACTGTATTGATAAGCTGATCGGCTCGTAAATTTTACTATACTCGTACACTATTTATATTTTCTTTCAAAACTCTTTTACCATTCCCCCAGGTACACTACAACCTTATTCAACACCAGCGTTATTTTTTAAGCGGACAATATTGCATGGATGAAAAATAATTAGTCACGTTTCAACACTTTATTCTTAAGAATTTCCGCCCTAGCTTTTAGGTTGCCCGTAAAAATCAGTATTGATTAATTTTTTTACTTTTAATTTTCCGTACAAGATAAAAAAAAATTTTTTCGGTTCACTTTTGCTATGCCCATTTTGGCGTTCGTCCATGAATTGAACGCGAAACAAAAGATAAGCGCGGCTAACTTAATAGCCGTTTGTTTACTAATCGTTTTTCATTAGCAAAAAGAAAAAATACTCAAGGCGCTTTCTTCCTGCGAGGAAAAAAATAAGTCAATTGCGATTTCTTGTCACCACTAATTGGTGATATTTCGACGGAGCCACAAGATTTTTTGAGCGTGATGTTTGCCGGCTGGGAATGCACTTGCAGGTAAATAAATTTTCATGGTACTTGATAGTTGATTTTGATAATATAAATATTGGTGTGCAGATTTGTCAACCGTTTGATTTGATTTGATTTTGCCTATCGAATACTTGCTATATTATTAGAAATCATAGTGTTTGACACTTATTTACTTGTTTAAACATTTAAATACACGCCCCAGCACCATAAGAAACATAAGCTCGTAAATGTCATTTAACAATGCATTTATATTTTTAAAAATGCCACTTTTCCGTCCATAGAGATATTTCCAAGTTATTTTTCTTACATAAATAAATGAATAAATATAAAACTTATGGTGTCCTCACACATGTAAATGATGCCCGAATAAACTGGAAAATCCGTTTCGTTACAGGAATAAATATTCAAAGTACTCGAATGAGTTTCTGAATTAGATACGCTAATGTAATTACTCCTAATAAATCTTAATGAAATTAAAATTTTTTCGTCCCTAATGAAATTACCATCGAAAATAGATATCCTCTCGCGTACGTGTGAGCCAAAAAATATCCCATATAGTTTTACATATATGGTACGGGCTTATAAAGTGCACTCTCGTACTAAATATAATTTACTTGTATGAAATTATACCCATATTCTCGCGTCAAGCCATTTACTTGAATTACGTAGCTATCATAGGCCAGTAATTATTGCAAAATTTTGTATACTATATTCGATTTCTCGCAATAACATTAAAGAGGAGGCTAAAATAAAATGAAATCAAAGAGGTACATGCGCTAAGGGATGCATGTACGTGCTTTGGTGTTTCCGCGTTTTCACAAAAATTTTAATACATTCATTTCCGTTAAATATGGAAAAAAATTTAGGTACGCTGATTTTGTCCAACAGCTGATGAAAAAATCGAACGGAAAAGATTCTGGCAAAAATAATAATTACAAAAATATTAGTGTCAACGCCATATTGTATAATACTAACTACAAATGTCTCTTTCGCACAATACGATTATTAGAATAAAAGGTTTTTTGTCTTCATCTCTATTCTTTTTCATTGAACTTTTTCGTCTGCAAGTGCAAAGATAGTAAAACGGTTTTATACGTTACTTTTTTTCTTTTATTGTCTTTTTACTTTAATGTTGCGTGACTTAATACATAATAATCATATTATATTAAAAACCCTCAACAAATAAGATTCTCATGAAATTATAATATATATAAACAAGAAGAGCAGTAATTATATTTACATGTATAACTCGGTTTTTATAACTCTTTTAATTTTGTGACCAGAGTAGAAAACAAAAAATGACAAAATATCTATAGTAATCATAAAAATGTATACAATATACATCAAAGTACCTAATTATTTTTACGTACATACATGTATATTCAGTATATTATTCTAACTAAAGTTTTGCCGTATAAAAAACAGCGTAAATAAGTTGTCAAAGTATATATGTACTAGGTAGAAACATAAAAAAAATCGAATCGATTGCTCGCTCCCTAAAATTACAACAAACATTCATAGTTATCCCCCTTCGCTAAAATAACGATTTTCAATTTTTCACTTTCCCGTAGGGCACGCACCCTTGTACCAAAAGTCCCACGTCCCATTACCAATCACCACCCGTCACCCTACCAACACAAAAATAAACCCTCCAAGTAATAGCATCGGGAATTTCCCGATTGGGAAAAGGTCCGTTGCCCACACACGACGTATTTCCCTCCTCGGAAAAGCTAAAAGCTCTCCGGACACCGCGTGTTTTTTTTTCTCTTTCTCTCTTCCTCTCCTACTTTCGTAGTGCCCACAAGTGCCGCAGAGCGCTGCAGTCGGGCAGTGCACTGCGTGCATACGTGGTTTCCGTCCTCAGTCGGTGTTGTAGTCATCGACAGCACCGGACCTGACCGGACAACATACGACGGAGGACGGAATCGAGCAGTACAGTTTGTGTCCTGTGTGTGATCTTCGCGTCAGTCTCTCCATTATTATTTGCTCTCGTGCGTATACAATTTCTCGTCATCGTCGCCGCCACCATCACCACCATCATCTAGTACGTGCTATTTGTTTCAATCGAAATCAATAATTTGCATTAGCGCCCGATCATTCATTGTTTGTGACACGATTTTTGCGATAATGAAACAGTGCGCGAGTGCGGTGCAGTATATATAACCAGCAGAGCAGCAGCATTACCTACACCTATACACCCGTACCTAGTGCACGCGCGCGCGCCTGCCTCCATTTTTTCCTAATCTTACCTTTTTTCTCTCTCTCTCCCTCTCTCCCCGATTTCTTTTTCGAGCGGCTGTTCTTCGTCCTCTTTTTTTTCTGCTCACCAAATGTTTATTGCCATACCTTTTTTTTTTCTCTTTCATCGAAGTCTATAGGTGTACACGCCATAGGTACTTGGGGCAATAATTCACGAGAATCTCGTTGTAGGAGCGACCCGGCGTTTTCGTCGTCAGCGCGTTTGGTCTCGACACCCCGACATTTGCAGTCACGCTGTCACACAATTTGTTGCTCTACTTATACGTGTGTACTCATGTATACATCAAATACCCACTTCATTTATACCTATGTACATACACAAGTGCACATGCATGCACTGCAGACATTCCTCTGGCTTATATAACTTATTCGGTTTGTGGAGTAAATAAGTAAAAGAAAAACTTGATCGAGGGCTGCTGTGTGTATATATATGTTATATTTTTAATGTGCTCTGCTCGTTTGGTGCTTAGGAGCAGAGGGGGAGGGGCGGTGGAACTAAAAGTTGCGTGAACGTATATATACACACGCACACACACATGACTAGATGTATGTATCCCACTGCTTGTCCTGCAGATAAATGCGTATTAAGTAAATGTTTAATAAATTATCTGCAGTGTAACTTCTATAGAACGTGTGGTTGATTTTGTGTATCGATAGGAATATCGGGATGGTGACCGCACACAACACCACCCGAGATGACGTATTCGGCTAGCTATATAGTTTTCCTCCTGCTCTTCTGCATACTAAATCGTCTATGCGTGTTCACACGAATATTCACTCTATATACCTTCCTGCAGGCGAGACGCAAGTTTTCATATTTTGATTTGTCGCCACTTTGGGGTGACTGATAAGTATACGAGGGGGTCGTGCTCCGAAATTTTGACAGTATTTACTTATTAGTAGTGATGCATTCTATGATGCAGATTCACGTTTGATAGCCAATATTTACTTATGACTTTTTATTTCTCTCGGAGAAGCATATATAAATGTAGTTTAAAATACGTTACTTGTTTAAGAAAACTCGTCAAAATATTCATATTTGTAATTTAACATTAGTCTTTTTGCATTCTTGCATTTTTTTATTTTTATTTTGAATCGTCCAAGAAGTACGTTATTTAATTTTAACTGATTTTCCGAAGCGCGTTTGGATTATTTTAAGATTCACTTGTAGTACTTGTAATTGCTGCAAATAAATCAAAGGTCTTAAATCAATGTGATACCTTTCTAATTTCAGATAAACCGTTTATAGACGCACTAGCCTATTAATCAATCTGGTTAGAACAATGCTGCTTCTAATGGCTGTTCGAGAAATAAGTATGTGTACATCGTAGAGTGCAGCTCCGAAAATTCTGTAATTTATTGATTTTTTTTTTTTTTTTTTTTACCCATGTACCGCGGAATTTTATAAAAACTAAAGAAAATAAAAATTTCTATTTGGAATTTCCGCGGACGATGCAAGTGTGAAGAGAGTAGCTTTTGGATCATCCTCCCCCATAAATTTTTAATTCATTAAACAGACGAGCACGTCATTCTAAAAAGAGCGGGGGGAAGATAAGAAAAGAAGAGATCTTAACATCTTCCTGCTTCCCTCTCTTGGTTCATCTCTTTCGACAAAAGCAGCCACCCCTCGCTTGAGGGTGTATAAAAACTAAAGAACAGAATGGGGTTGCTGCATGGGCTTCTCTCTGACGCGCTCGTGAGCGTCTGTTAGGGCTGCATATGTGTGCACAGTATATACTTACAACATACGCCAGCTTACCTGAGGCAACCGAGTTTTTAAAAAATGTCAATGGTCGCGACTGACGTTTTTTTTTTTACACACTTCCATTGAATTTCTTTTGTTTGCGTGACTTCGTCGACCCCTCGCTTGTTTTGGATCATATTTCACAGAATTTTATAAATAGTTAAACAATATTTTGTCCAGTTTTCATTTTTATTTATGAATTTTTTTCTTTCTTTTCTCTGAATCCGTAGGTTGACGCTGCTGTGTTAGGGTTCGAGACTGTCACTCGTTGATAAACGAGCTACTGCGCTTTATTTTCTCCTGTTCCGCGTGGCTAACCTAATTTTTTGTAACTCGTACAGGTATTTTTTTTATTTTTTATACATTTTTTTCTTTAAACCATTTGTTTACCCATATAAATAATTACTTTTGTATTTGTAATGTACTCCTCAATTGATTTACATGAACAAGTGCTTTTGACATTAAAAAAAAATCATATTCATGAAATGGAAAGTTACTTGTTTTAACAGCCTTTAGAGGCTTAGTATATAATTATGTGGTCTATCAAGCATGTTTGCACTTTTTTTGCTTATTTTCATCATTAAAATGAACCTCTAGCTTTGATAGGTTCCTTCATAGTGTTAGATTAAGTTTTAAATGCAAATAGTTGAATTTTCTGTCTCAAACTTTGTATGTTTTTCATCTAGTTGAAGATATCATTATCAACTATTTATCTTTCAACTAATTGCATAAAATTAGTTTAAAATTTTGAATTTTAATGTTGGTATACAAAACTTTTGCTTTAGCCCTAAAAAAATATAGTAAAATTTATTCAAAACTGTAGTAAAAGAAATAATAAAATAATTGATTTGTGTAAATTCTTTATATATCAACGTTAAACTTTACATAACATGCAAACATTCTTACTCAAGCTTGGTCCTTATGCACTTTTGTTTGTTTGTTTCTGATAAACAGGTCTGACAACGTGTATTTTAACTATCACATTTGTTTCATATTTTATTTTTTTTAATAATTCTTTTATTAAATCAACAAAGATCGAAAGAAAAAAAAACAGCTGCCTGGATAATAGCCATGGCAGTACCCGTGAGAGTAATGCATTTGTTTATATTTTTTGTATTTGCCGACCATACGGATTATTGTCGATGGAAACAGTGGAAGTCCGCATATTCACCAGACACCGTCGGTGAATCTCAAAGAGAGCGACGTTACAACGACATTGTGTATTCAATTAAACCAAGAACCAAGTATCCAACAAGATAACAAGATGAATGACCAACAACAGCAATTACCTAAATGCGATAGCATTGATCAAACAAATCTGATAATTAACTATTTGCCACAGAGCATGACTGAGAAGGAGCTTTACAGTATGTTTGTAACCATTGGTGCAGTCGAATCTTGTCGAATAATGAAAGATTACAAGGTAAGTTTCTTTATTTTTAAAAGTTTTTTAAAATTGTTTTCTAGCATCGTCATGTTATGTTCTTTGAATTTATAGTATTATTTTGCATAAAAATAATCTTTGGTGATTTTTTTCTTTAGACTGGATACAGTTATGGTTTTGGATTTGTAAATTATGCAAAAGCTGAACATGCAGCCGCTGCTATCAGTACGTTGAATGGCCTCCAGGTCCAAAATAAAAGACTCAAAGTCTCTTTTGCTCGACCATCTGGAGAGGAGATTAAAGAAACTAATCTCTATGTCACAAACTTACCAAGGCAAGTTAAATTCATAAAGTTTGAAACTATCGTAGAACAAATTGTGTTTGCATGAGAGTAATGCTAATAATTATTATCCACAGGAACATCACAGAAAAACAGATTGAAGATATGTTCAGTCAGTTTGGTCAAATCGTCCAGAAAAACATACTCAAAGACAAGTTTACGGGATTACCACGAGGAGTCGCCTTTGTGAGGTAAACTAATTCTCTTTTCTCTTCTCCATTCCTTTTCTTTCCAACTCGAGTTAGTAAATTACAAGCGGTCGTTCGATCCAACGGAATTTCTCGGATTTAACGGCACGCTCGACGTACCGTAATGAGGAATAAATTTTCCAAAACACGCACATTAAAACTTCAAACAGCCAGTTTATCTGTCGTAAGTTGGCATAAAATTGGAACAATTTCAACTATTTCGCGTTGCACGGATATTTATGAGAAATACGCACTTGACAGTATTAGTTGGCCGGTGTTTTTACCTCGATATAATTGAAGAAAATATTATGCAATGACAATGCCCAACAATTTCGCGACTGCAGTATTTGTCCACTGTCGGCGTTCTTCTGCCCACTGCCAGGGAACGCGTGTATTTCTATCACTCTTGCTGGATCTTCGCGCTATGGTCTGACCCATTTTGAATATTAAATTTATAGCACGAATCTTCATGTATGAATTTCGCTTGCCGCCCAACGTACAGTCAAAGCTGCGGTGTCCTGGCCTTATTTTACTCACGGAGATGTAATTAAAATTTTTTATTTGATAATTACAACGAGATTTATCGTTTAGGAGTATTTTCGCTTGTTTCCCGAAATTTATTTTTAGAGCTGCTAAAACGTACGTTTTATTGTTCGTTCTACTTATGTGGATCAGCATAATGTTTACTAGCCGAGTATTTTCGAACGAATCACATCAAATTAAACACTGTTAATTTTAGTAGGCTTAGCCCAAACAACCGTTAGTCTGTCATTTCTTTATGCATTTCTGACACTCTCGCAGTTTGTCAGGCTAATGCACGTACCATTTACATTGCTTTGAAATAATATTTCATAAAAATGAGAAGAAAAAAAGTAAGTGACGAAAACAAAATTACACTCGTAGGTACGACAAACGCGAAGAAGCGCAAGATGCCATAAACACCCTCAATGGTACGATACCAGAAGGCGGCTCCGAGCCTCTTTGTGTCAAAATTGCCGAAGAACATGGCAAGCAAAAGGCTGCCTACTATGCTGGTTGGCAAGCTGGATACAATCAGAGCCGTGGTAAGATACCCCAAATACTAATCACTCGATAGAAAAAAACATTGCTTTTTCATTTCCCGTTGAGTATTTGTTAAACGTTAATTAAAAATTTTATCTTGTCTACAGCGTTGTTTGATTCGAATGGCTTATGATTGTTCAAATCGCACGATATTGCTTTATTATTTCTTACTTTATTAACGTCAACACCAAATTTTTTTTCAATACATGTCAATTCAATGATAGTTTTCAAAGTTATCATAGTTGTTCAAACTGTCAAGTAGCTTTGTTTTATTTAAATATCAAGTATACATTTTTTAAAAGCTGCATTGATCTTGGTTTCAGATTAATCAAAATGAATCCATTCAAAGTTGTGAAAAGAAAAAAAATGTTTAACTTGTAGTTCTGTATGAAAATGAATTCCAAAGACGCAGTTGTTTATTAATGTTTAGATCTAAGACGAAAACTTTAATAACTCTGTAATTGTTCTAAAGCCTAGATCAAAAATCACAGTATTTCGAAATGTTAGTATTCCCTATGTATTATTGTGAAAATTAAACATTTTCATTATGCTTTACCTTATCTAAGTTATTGTAATAAAAAAAATCATCTAATCGTTGTTAGCATTATTCTACAAAAAAATTTATAAAAAAAAAATCTAACAGAAAATTAATTTAGCGATGCTTGAGGAAGAATTCGGAAATCTCAATTTTAGAGAGTACAGAAGGTATCCCACCAAAAAATCACACAGGAAGACTAGTGAGTCTTAGTTATACCTATACAATTTTCGTGATTTAAGCTATATACACGGAAATTTAAAACTAATTATAATTTATTTTCTCTTTTTTTTCTTTTTGTTTTTTTTAAATCTGTTTCCATCACAGATAAATATGACAGCTCTACGACAAAGTCAGAATTCCGTAACATCTGGCATTGAGAAAATCTTCATAGATGCATTACGCAAAATATGTAATTTTTACAACTTTTCAAATAGCTTTCTTTTTACTTTCGTATCACAGAACTTGTACAGAAAATTAACAGTGCGTAAAAGTTAGGACACATTGTAAATTGTTATGTTTTTATTTTTTATTTTTTTTCGTACTGTAAAAAGTTTTTTTTGCGTTGTCTTTGGAACTTGATTTATTTGTCAAACAGAATATACGTTTGATTATACGCTAGTAACAAAGAGAATTACGTCCAAAGTTAGTAACATATATTTCCCGTCGTTTAGCTAGTCCAGTGCTTTATTTATTTAAATTGTATTTATTCTTCGTGACGCTATTCTCATTGTTCATAACACAATATTGTCATGAATGAAAAAGAAGAATTTTTTGTATCCAAAAAATATTGAAATCAGTTGAGCTAATAGTTGTGTTAAATCGAAATACATTTTTTCTCTCACGAACGAAATTATTTTTACTTTTGTTTAATTTTCATTTGAATTAACGCACAACAGCAGATTGAAAGTATTTAATGGATTCAAGAAAGTTTCTCGTCAATCTAGCGATCCATTGTGCAATTAACACTGAAACAAGCATACCAAATTGTTGTACATAAATTCTATTTGTACATCATTTGTTTTGTAAGTAATCTAATACTCATACTCAAAAGTTTTCGTGTTAGAAAATACAATATTTCTGTGTACGAATTTTCCAAAGATGCGCCATCCGCTCATCCTTTTTTTTCTTTTTTTTTTTTTTTTTTTTTTTTTTAATGCCGCGTCGTTGTTTAAAAAAAGTAAGACTGACTTTTTACATAAGAGTTAAAGGTAAGTGACAGGTTATCCCTTACAACTTTTTTTTTTCATAGCACTTTTAAAGAGAGATAAAAATTGTCTTTAGAAACCCTTGATTTTTTAAAACTATCTACATGTCTGTAACGTCTCAAGTATATGAAATTACTTTTATATTATAATTTTAATGTTTTAAAATTCTAAATTTTTTATTTTTCAAATTTAAAATCAATTAAAAGAAAGATTAATATCAACATAATTTATATGCTTTGGCCCAATACTTTTTCCTAAGTTAACGTAATTAAAACTCTCACACATTGACAGGATACAAAAATTGTGTTGTTGTTTGGATTAGTTACTTACGTATTTAGCAATTGTTAAAAAAATTATATATGTCATGTATTAGCCAAAGGTGCTATACAGCCTTTTCCGAACCATTTGAGATCATATGGGGTAGCTTCAAGTGTAGTTCTCGTGCCACTTGGAAATAACGATCGTTAATATTTGAACACGCAATATCGGCATGTAACTAAAAATTGTAATCCTACAACTTGAAAGAAAACGTTAGTCTTGCATTGGCATTGTGGTCGATGAAAAAAAAAAAAAAAAAAAAAAAAAAAAAAAAAAAAAAAAAAAAAAAAAANAAAAAAAAAAAAAAAAAAAAAAACCAGAATTAAATACCCGAGGTGGTTAAAATAATTGTGTGCTCTTTGAGAGTAAAGTTATTGTGCATAAAGTTTCGAGTACAGTGCGTGTGTACATTGTTTCGTATATCCTCTCCCGTTTCGGAACGACGGCATGGGGTAAATAATGACATGTCCCATAAAACGATGTAAAGTTTAGTTACGTGTCGTTGGACATCTGTAATTACTTGGATAAAGATTTTTTTTTGTTTCCCTCTCTGTAGTCGCTCGCTTTCAAATCGCTTGATTCTCCAGTCTCTGTAACTAACAATGATAATGATAATGTTAAAATTCATTTACTAGTATTAAAGTAAAATTTATTATGCAACTATTCCTTGAATTGACAGATTTCAAATCCATTTGATATAGCAACACTATTTTGTATAAAAACATGATAAAAACATGGGTTTTAAATAAACCCACGAATAGCTAAAACTTATCCATTTAATCATCATTGCCATTATCATCATCATAATTATCATTCAATACCTAAATCGTCACCTCCAAATCTTGACTAAATTATTTCAAAAATAAACGAAAAATTACCCAGTGATTAAAAAAAGTAACACCGATTCCGCACGTACAGACCCGGCGCGCGTTACAGGTGGCGGCGTTGTGGGCCGTGGCCGAGGTGGTTACGGAGGCGTGCCGCCGATTGGTATGGGACTCGGGGCCGGTGTCGGCCTAGCAACGGGCGGACCCCCGGGTGCTATGATAGCCGGGCGCGGTGGCTTCGGCGGACCAAGGGGAGCCGGCACTGGAGCCGGCCATCACGGCTTCGGAGGCGGTCCCGGAGCCGTGCGCATGGAGAAGCTGCACCCGCATCGCTTCAACCCCTTGGGAATGAGTGGAGCCGCGGCTAGTGCGGCCGGAGGTGCTAGCGCGTCCGGTGGCTACGCCCCGCAACATTTCTGGTGACGGACCAATATCATTGGCAGCGACTGTGTGCAGCAGCAGGTGCCGGCTAGTGTTCTAGTCGGCGAGTTTTAGTGTGAGTACATCAGAGATGACTTTGCTTTGCTTTGCTTTGCTTCGAACCGCTTGGTGGGACCGGACGAGTTAGTAATGGTGAACATTTATGTTGACAGAAATTCAAGAATGTGGCAATGTGTTCCGAATCAGCGACCTGGAGTTAGTCTGTGTCCACAATGCAGAGGGACAGTTTTCATTTCCTTATTAGCCGCCTGCCTGCGTCCGTCCGTCGATGCTTATTCAAATATTTAGTTGCAAACAGGATAATACTTATAAGCGACAAGTTTTTTTTTTCTTCCTTTCCCCTTTCTCTCTTTCTTTCTTTCTCATTATCCATAAGCGCACAGAAGACCATCTAGATGCACGTACGATCATTTTTTTGTCGCATTTCTTCATCTTCTCTTTCAATTTTCTCGCGTAAACCAAGCGACAGACTATAGAGCTAAGTATTCTACTCGTTGTGGATTCGTCTTTTTGTACTCTTAGTCGGAGCAGTTTAACGATGAACGGCCGAGGCGGGATCGAAGCGTCTCGTTAAATGAATTTTTACTGTTAGAAATTTCGATAAAGAGAAAAAAAAATTAATTTGTCTGCATTAAATATTCCTGTGTGAGAGAGCAATTTTAATTTCTAGATTTGTAGAGTATTTGTATATCATCGATTTTAAGTTAAATTAGCTAAGCGAGTTCTGATCGTTCATTTTTTTCTTTTCTTTATTTTTTTTTTTTTTTTTTCCTTTTTTTCTTATCAAGCGATTGTATAATTACATCTAGTGAACGACATGAGCTTTATGGAATAAACATTTATAGATTTGGCAAATTTACAAAAAATGAATTTTAAAAAAATTCGGCTCATTGCATTGTAACTTTAGCACTTTGAATTCTTGAACCGGCCTATCGCGCCTGAGTTAGGCCGTTATACATTTTTAATTAATTTTATAGTAGCAAATAAACTACTTTGCATGAGGCCAACTATTGTTAGTGTTATTTAAAAGATAATTTTTTATTTAAATTTTAATAATACTGACTTGCGGTGTATAACAAATTGTATATGTATGTATACTGAGAGAAAATTACGGCTCCCAAATATTGGGATAAACTTTCTTTTCGGTTACTTCAGTGTTGCGAGTACAAACATTAATTCAATTATAGTAACTTTTTCTCAGTTTGTCAATTAAATAAGAATTAAATAACAAATTTGAATTCATACATAGAAGGATATAATTACATGATTCTAATTCTCATAGCAATGCAATGGAATGTTAGAATTTTCCAAAGATGCGCCATCCGCTCATCCTTTTTTTTTTTTTTTTTTTTTTTTTTTTTTTTAATGCCGCGTCGTTGTTTAAAAAAAGTAAGACTGACTTTTTACATAAGAGTTAAAGGTAAGTGACACATATGTATGCGCGCACTACTGTCTCGAATAATTGGGAGTCAAGGGAAAAAGAAAAAAAAATACCAAAAAATCTAATAACTTCTTTCCGATGAATTGTGTACGCGTACAGAGGTTGTTACGACTTGGTCATTGTAAACACGAGTTAAAAAAATATTTAAAAGTGAAAAATTGGTTAGTAAAAATATTCTCTTGGAAAGAGAGTTAAAAAAATCGAGTATTGTAAAGCGCTTGTGAGTTATACGTCACAAGTCGATACATCAATTGTAGTATGTATATCTTCATGAGAAATGTTGCATTGCGTCACTGTTATTTAATACTTGCAATTAAGAATTAAAGCAATAGTTAATCAATTATACAATTCATAAGAATGCACCAAATTGTAAGCTTTCGGTAGTTCCAACTTAAGAATTTACCAAGTTATATTTCAGTATTAGATTGCAGTGTCACTAGAACATTTTGTTAATGTTGGTATTTACTTATTAAAAAAAAAAAAAAAAAAAAAAAAAAGCTTACAGTATGGAGCCTCGTCGTATCTTGCGCACCTCCTCGGCAGGGGCGCCGATGGTCTCGACCTCGGGTGGCGTGGGCGCGGTGTCGAGGGTG